GTGTAGCAGGAGTGGGAACCATGAGCATCTGTGTCACTTCTTCATGTAACTCACTTGTGCCTGCAGGACCTGTTCAGTCCCAATCAGTCGAATCACTTCCATTTGATGATGGAGTGCTTCTGTGCACACCTGATGTTATAACTTGCTGGGTAAGAAAACACCCAGTTCATGATGGGCAGCTCAGGTTGCATGGTAACACGGTAACCCATAGTTAAGCATTTAGTCTTTACTAAGGCTCAGCAGCAGGCCAAAAGCTGTTTCTCAAAAGGAGAGTAGTTATCTGTGGAGATTGGCAGGGCTTTGCTCCCAAATCCAAAGGCCTGCATTGCAGTTCACCCACAGATGCCTGACAAAGGCTCCAAACAGCATCCCTATGTGCCACTGACACTCTAAGCTTGGCCCTGCTGGATCTTATGGCCCAAGCAGCAGAGCAGTTTGCACAGCAGCCTGGCCTGTTACGAGTCCTCTCTTGTTCTGGGACCCACTCAATATTAGCAGCTTTTTGATCACAGTAACACACCCAAATGAAGAATATGTTGCCTCCAAAATCTGAAGAAGCCCGGTAGGCATTGTGCTTCTCTTTTGGTTGTAGGAGGGACCAGATGGAACAACTTAGCCTTCCCTTAGAAGGGATATCTCAATAAGCTTCACAACATTGGATGCCTAAAACTTTCACTAAGGAGAGGGCCCCTGAAGTTTGTTGGATTTATTTCCCACCTTCTTACGTGCAAATTTCTTACCAATAGGTCTAAAGTAGTTACTGCTTCTTGCTCACTAGGTCCAATCAACATAATGTCATTAATCGCATGGACCAATGTAATACCTTGTGAAAGTGATTGAGACTCCCATGAATTAGATTATAATACAATGCTGGAGAGAGTTAGTATAACCCTGAGATAGAGCAGTAAAGGTGTATTGCTGGCCTTGCAGTGAAAGAAAACTGCTGTTGGTAGTCTTTATTGACAGATATGAAGAAAAAGGCATTCGTCAAATCAATAGTTGCCTATCAGGTTTCAGAGAATATGCTAATTTGCTCAAGCAATGAAACCACATCTGGTACAGCAGCTGCAAGGGGAGTCACCACCTGGTTAAGCTTATGATAATTCACGTCATTCTGCAAGATCCAACCGTCTTTTACATAGGTCAAATAGGCAAGATGAATGGGAACGTGGTGGAAATCACCACCCCTGCATTTTTCAAATCTCCGATGCTGTCACTAATCTCTGAAATCCCTTCAGGGATGCAGTATTGCCTTTGGCTTACTATTTTCCTATATAAGGGCAGTTCTAGTGGCTTCCTCTTGGCCTTTCCCACCATAATAGTCCTTATCCCACAGATTAGGTAACCCATGTGGGGATTCTGCCTGCTGCTGAGTATATCTATTCCAATTATGCATTCCAGAACTGGGGAAATAACCACAGAATGGCTTCTGAGACCCACTGGGTCAATGGGACACAGACCTGAGCTAAAACTCCACGAGTCATCTCACCTCCATAAGCCCCTACTCTGGCTAGTGGACCAAATGATGGTCCCTGTCTCCTAGATTCCATGTCAGTTCAGACCCTTTGTCTGGTAGTACCCAAAAGATCTGATTATTTCCTTTTCCTCAAGGCACACTTACCCTGGTAAAAGGCTGTAGGTCCCTTTGGGGAGGCTTGGGGAAAAGTAACAGTATAAATTATTGGCAGTGTACCAGGGTCCTTCATCAAGGGGACCCAGTTTCCTTTTCATTCAAGGGGTTCTGGCTCTGTAAACTGGCTTAAGTCTGGGAATTCATTTAGGCACCATGATTCCCCACTTTTATTATTCAAGATAGACTTTTACTCACTTGAACGTTGCTGTTTACACAGATCAATTAACAATTTAGTAGGCTTTCTATCTGCTTCACTTCTGAAAACATCATGATCAACTAGCTAATGCCATCAGTCTGGAAGCCAGGCTATTCTGATTGCTGCTTTGACTCTACTGTCCCTTAAGGTAACCACACTCACTTTGCCTTTGGTGATTAAGAGCTGCTACATGGCTCCTGCCACCCTAGGATCCAATCACTCCATTGCATTTAGGTTTCCCAGTTCAGTGACTGCGGATCCCACTGTAAAGTCTCACCTACAGAGAAGAGTGATCATGGATTTTTTCAAGGATACCAGGGATTCCCTCACAAAATTATGTCTCACAATTGTGGTGAAAAATATATCTTCTGGACTCTCCCTGGGTGAGGGGGAAGATATTAAATGACAAATCCCCTCTAACATTTCAATCTCCCTAAGCCTTTGAATCTCTTCCTCTATATTAAACCAGGGCAGTTCTAGTATTTTGAACGCACTCAATATTGCCCACCTTTTGGTCCATGTTTCAGCCAACCAACCAAATTTAGTCCCTTTGTGTTGCTATGAAGGAATATTTAAGGCTGGATACTTTATAAAGAAAAGAGGCTTCTTTGGCTCATGGTTCTGCAGGCTGTACAAGAAGCATGATGCCAGCATCTGCATCTAGTGAGGGCCACAGGCTGCTTCCACTCATGGCAAAAGGTGAAGGGGAGCTGGTGTGTACAGAGATCACATGGCAAGAAAGAAAGGTGGTAGGAAGGGAGGTACTGGGCTCTCTCAACCAACCAGCTCTTGTAGGAACAAATAGAGCAAGAATTCACTCACTCTTGCAAGAATGGCACCAAGTCATTCCTGAGAGATCTGCCCCCTGAACCAACACCTCCTACTGTTCCCCACCTCCAACATTGGGAATCAAATTTCAACATGAGATTTGGAGGGAACAAGCAAACTAAAGTATAGCACAAACAATTAGAGCCATTTCTAACTGCCTGAGCTGCAATGTTAAATACAGAATCTCAGCTTAGTGAGTCCATATCAATGAATTCCACCTAATCCAACTTTATATTCCTCCTGCCATTATCCCACACCCTCAATATCCACTCCCACACATGTTTCCCAGATTTCTATCTGTATAAATTAGAAAATTCCAGTAGTTCTTTTGAACTGTAGTACACTTTCTTGTGAGTTACATTTTGTACCTTACCTTTAGGAGCCTACTAGGACTTGAATCAAATTGTGGGTCTAGAAGCAAAGAGGGGTGATAGAAATGGGTCTTGAGGAGAATCATTGTCTAGCATGTGATCTACCTCAGAGGAGGTCATTACAGTTTTCTAGGACAATGCAGGTTTAATCCCATCAGATGAGAGGTGAGGGGCTGAAGAGTCCACTACCACTGGGAGTGGGAAGGTGGCTTCCACAAAGGATAGAGCGGCCTCTTCCACTGGCAAATATTTATCAGATTCCAGGGGCTTGATTTCCCCAGTTTCATCAGGTCTTCCCACATATCCCCATTCCAACTATCAAAGTGTATATCTTCCTCACTTCAACGTTAGACTTCCTGTGAGGCTGAGAGTTTAACCTGTGCAGTAATTCAGCCAGTCTCAGGATAAGATTCTGTGTTTGATTTTAGCAATCATAGCCCTGCTGCTAAAAGCAATAATGATATTTCAGGGCACACATAGAAGATTTCAGGTTTTGTACATGGGGCTTAAACTGAAGATTCAAATCCCTGAGCTCATCCTTTTCTTTCCCCACTTTGTCCAGTGACATTTGGATCAACCAGCCAATCTCATTATACTTGTTAGTTTGCCAAAAAAAAAAAAAAAAAAAAAGTTCGTAAGTATATACATAGCCCCCACAACCACCCCCAGCTCCTTGCTTCTTGTAAGAGGTTGCTAAGGAGTATCCAACGGTGGTATTTTACATATCTCTATTGTAAGATCATGCCATGGACTACCAGTGCTCTCATTACTACTAAAAATAAAGTCATAAGCATCTTTAAATCTAATCAGGTTAGAGAGCCAATTCCAGAAACCGCAGAACCAATTCAGAAAACTCATCGTTAACATTCCTTTTTTTTCTTTTTAATTTAATTTAATTTAATTTTTTGAGACAGGGTCTCATTCTATTGCCCAGGCTATAGTGCAGTGGTGCTATCGCAGCTCACTGCAGCTTCAGCTGCCTGGGCTCAAGCAATTTTCTCACTTCAGCCTTCTGAGTAGCTAGGACCATAGACATACTACCCTATGCCTGACTGGTTTTTTCTTTTTTTATTTTTCGTAGAGATGAGGTCTCACTATGTTACCCAGGCTGCTCTCAAACTCCTGGGCTCAGGCGATCGTCCTACCTTGGCCTCCCAAAATGATGGGATTACAGGCACAAACCACAGCACCTAGACTTCATCCTTAACATTCTGTTTCTCTAGAACTATAAAGGAAGTGGGGATAGTCATACGACATTGCACATGTACTAAATGCACTGAATTGTACACTTAAAAATGTTTAAAATATTAATTTTACGTGTATTTTACCACAATATATAAATTAAAAAAAAAAAAACAGTTACAAAAAAGGAAAAGAAATAACCCAGGCCTGAATGAAGGTAGGCAAGGGCAAAAAGACCCCCAATTCAGAGTTTAACTCAACAGGAAGTGCTGATCAATTTGATGGTTGAATAAGGATAAAAGCTCAGAGTTTTAGAGTTTTAAGAAATAAAATATGAGTCTAAGGTTTTCTATCTGTAACTTTACATTCATCTTTCTTCTAGGATTTAGTCAAAAGTCTTTTCAACTTTTGGACCAATGATTCTATGCTAATTTGCACTTTCAACTGAACATTCATACTGTAATTTTGTCCCAGGCAGAATTAAAGTAAAGATTCAAGATCTGGGCTTGAATCTTTACCTACTTACCAAGATATACCTACTTCTTCCGGGGACAACATTCATGATTCTTAAAGATTTCACAAGCGTGCTTTCTAAAGTAAATTATAAATAGTGCCAAAGAATTTGCTTCACTACATGCCTATAGGGTGGTGAATCAGGCTTAACTCTTCCTCCCCCACCCCCATTTCCCCATTCACATCTCACCTGACGTCTTCCTTTGACCTACTTTTTCAGAAATCAAAGAAGTAATCTTAGGTGGTGATTTGAAGTCCCACAGCCATTGGTACTTACTCCTCTTAAGCTACTCTGCTTTCTGTTCCTTCTGTCTACTGTCCAGGGTAAGTGGCTGGAAGTAGTAAGGGGTCAATGCCAAGTGAAATCCTCTGGCATTTTCTTCTGACATCCAGGAATCTGCAAAGTGAGTTTGCTGGGAGCGTCCAGTGTTTTCAGCTTAACGTTAGGTGTACTTTCTGTCTTCAGCACAAATTGTTTCCAAATGCCTGTGGGTTGCAATATGATTTTCCCATCTTGAAAATCTATTAAAAAGGAAGAGATTCTTCACTTCTCCCCACCCCACCTCCAGGCACTGCAGATGGCGATTAACACCCTACACAGCCCCTCCCCGTAGCATCATCAATTTTTTGCCTGCATTGCATCTACTTCACAGTTCGAGACATGCCAAATCACACACGTTCTAAGTACTTGTTGCTAGCAACAAATCTCTCTTCCTCAGTGGCCAAGCAGACTATATTTGGAATGTCAGAGCACCTAGCCCTTCCCTGGCCCACTTCCTTTAGCTGAGAAGTCTCCAAGCCTTAAAGTAACCTCACCCATGTTTCCTTGGGTTCTGCTTGTTGAAGGAACTCTTTGGATGAACTCGGCAAAACACAAAGTGACAACAAAACAGAGAAACAATCAGATTCTTTTCCATGAACTCCTTTTCTGTAAAAGTGAGTGTTATTAATCCCTACCTTATGGAACAATTGTGAATGTATTTAATGAGCTCATCAAAATATACATACATATATATATATAGAGAGAGAGAGAGAGAGAGAGTCTCACTCTGTTGCCCAGGCTGGAGTGCAGTGGCACAATCTTGGCTCGCTGCAACCTCCATCGTCTCACAGGTTCAAGCAATTCTCCTGCCTCAGCCTCCCAAGTAGCTGGGATTACAGGTGCTCACCACCAAGCCCAGCTAATTTTTTTTTTTTTCTTTTTGGAGACAGAATCTCGTTCTGTTGCCCAGGCTGGAGTGCAATGGGGCAATCTTGGCTCACTGAAACCTCCGTCTCCTGGGTTCAAGCTTCCTGCCTCAGCCTCCCGAGTAGCTGGGACTACAGGCAAATGCTGCCAAATCAGGCTAATTTTTTTGTATTTTAATAGAGATGGGGTTTCACCGGGTTGCCCAGGCTGGTCTTGAACTCCTGAACTCAGGCAATCCACCTCCCTCGGCCTCCCAAAGTGCTAAGATTCCAGGCATGAGCCACCGTGCCCGGCCTAATTTTTGTATTTTTAGTAGAGACCGGGTTTTGCCATGTTGGTCAGGCTGGTCTCACACTCCTGACCTCAGGGGATCTGCCGACCTTGGCATCCCAAAGTCCAAAGTGCTGGGATTACAGGTGTGAGCCACCGCGCCCGGCCTGAGCTCATCAAAATATTAAAACTAGTCCATCTTTAATGGCAGTGTAGACCTAGCACATGGCTGGGAGTGTATAACTGCCAGGTGTTTCTCTTTTTCTCACTGTTTCTCTCTCTTTTTTATTGAGGTAAAATTCACATAACATAAACCAAATCATTTTAAAGTGAACAATTAAATGGCATTTTGTACTTTCCTTTTTTTTTTTTTTTTTTTTGAGACGGAGTCTCGCTCTGTCTCCGGGGCTGGAGTGCAGTGGCCGGATCTCAGCTCACTGCAAGCTCCGCCTCCCGGGTTTACGCCATTCTCCTGCCTCAGCCTCCCGAGTAGCTGGGACTACAGGCGCCCGCCACCTCGCCCGGCTAGTTTTTTGTATTTTTTTTAGTACAGACGGGGTTTCACGGTGTTAGCCAGGATGGTCTCGATCTCCTGACCTCGTGATCCACCCGTCTCGGCCTCCCAAAGTGCTGGGATTACAGGCTTGAGCCACCGCGCCCGGCCGCATTTTGTACTTTCAGTGTTGTACAATCACATCTCTATCTAGTTCCTAAATATTTCCATCCCCTCCAAAAGGAAACGCATCCCCATTAACCACTCTCCATTTCCCTCTCCTGAGCCTTCACAAACAACATTCGACTTCCTGTCTCCGTACCTGTTTTGGTTATTTTATTTAAATGGATTTATATGTGTCTGGCTCCATTCTCTTAGTGTAATATTTTTTAAGTTTTTCCATATTGTAACACGTTTTGGTAATTTATTTCTTGTTATATCTGAACAATCTTCTGTTGTATGGATATACCACAATTTGTTATCTATTTATCTGTTGATGAACATTTGTGCTGTTTCACCCTTTGATGTTTGTAGATTATAAATAGGGCTGCCATGAACACACATGTACATGTATTGGTTTGAGTACCTGTTTTCAATTCTTTTGAGTATATAACTGGGAGTGAAATTGGTATTCACCCTTTTTTTTCTTCTCTTAATGATCTCATGTCTGCATGAGCCTTAATGATGCGCTGTTTTAAAATTCCTGACGTTGTTTGTCACTAGTTCATTTGTCTCTAGTTTAACTGACCAATCTTGACAGCAATTTTTCACTTTTATTAGTATTTTAGGGAATCTGCCTGTGGTTTTGAGAACCTTGTCTGCTTATACATTTGAATTAGTGATAATGATTGCTTTCTCTTTGGATTTGTTTTGCCACTCCTTTGGTAATGTCTGGAGAGGGCTGCTTAACTGACATGATCGAGGCTCCATTTGTGTGTCCTGGGACCCCTCATCAGGCCTGTGCACTCCCAGACTGGAACCTGCATCTTTGTCCAAGGGCCATCCCTAGGCTGCCTGAACTTACTTAGCCTATGGGCACAGTGGGCTGGAGGTGCGTGGGAACTAATAGCCTCTGGAGGAGACCTTTAACTAAAGAGCAAAGGCTGTCAGGGTGTAAATACCCTTCTTGCCCTTCGGCTGGGATAATTCTGAAGCATATTTTACTTAGTTTTCTAGAGTTCTTCTTGGTAATTAATGCAATCAAGCTCCAGTCTCCTGCTGTGATGACTGCCTTCATAACACACCCTTTATTATTTATCTGTCTTCCCTCCATATCTCACTTCCTACCTGTTCCTACTTGTCTGTTTCCCTGTGAGGGACTGAATTGTGAGCCCCTCGAATTCAACATATGAAGCCCCTAAATTTATTTGTTCGAGTCTGAAGTCAAGGTACCTAAGAGTGTGGCTTTATTTGGAGATACAGCTTGAAAGAGGTGATGAAATTAAAATGAGATCATGAAGGTGCACCCTAATCCACTATGACTGGTGTCCTTATAAGAAGAGATTAGGACGCAGACACACACAGAGGGAATCCCATGGGCAGACACAGGGAGAACACAGACATCTGCAAGCCAAGGGCAGGGGCCTCAGAAGAAACCAAACCTGCTGACTCCTTGATCTCAGATTTCAGCCTCAAGAACTGTGAGAAAAAAAAAATTTCTGTTGTTTAAGCCACCTAGCCTGTGATACTTTGTTACGGCAGCCCAAGCTAATTAATTCACTCCCAATTAAACTGTTCGCCCTTGAATCCTTGGCTCAAGGTCTGCTTCTGGGGAACCCAAGCTAAGATTCAAAGTTTATTGATTTTTTTCAGTGTTTCTTCTTTTCTAAATATGCATTTGAAGCTATAAATTCCCTTCTAAGCATGGCTAACACTCTGATATGTAGTATTTGATAGTGTAATGATAAGTATTTGTAGTATAATGGTAAGCTTTGATAGGCAGTATTATTATTTAATTCAAAGTATTTTCCATTGCAATTTCTATTTAACCTGTGGCTTATTATAACTCAGAAGAGTTTTACATTGGCCTTATAGATGCTCCTAACACGTGTGTCACTTCTGCTCACAACTCAAATGACCAGAACTAGCCACAGGGCTCCACCCAGCCACAGGCGAGCAGAAAGTACAACCTACTGTGTTGTTGTTGCATAGAACATCTTTCTACATGTTTCCTCTCGCATAGGTGCTAGAATTGCTTTAGAATAGGCTATAAACCTGGGGTGGAATCACTAAGCCATCTTATTAAACCCATCTACCATTTTATTGGAAATCGCCAAGCTGCTTTCCAAAGTGGTTGTGCAAGTACACATATTGCCTGTGCATATTCTTCTGCACCCTCACAACCCTTCATATTATCAGACTTTTAAAATTTTTTGACAATTTTGGAGGCATGAAACAGTATCCTATTGTGTTTTAATTTGCATTTCCCTGACTAATAGGCAGGTCAGGCTTTTTCATTTGTTTGGGGTTGTTGTTGCTTTTTGTTTTTGTTTTTTGAGACGGAGTCTTGCTCTGTCATCAGGCTGGAGTGCATTGTCATGATCACAGCTCACTGCAACTTCCACCTCCCAGGTTCAAGTGATTCTCCTGCCTCAGTCTCCCAAGTAGCTGGGACTACAGGCACCTGCCACCACGCCCAAGTGATTTTTGTATTTTTAGTAGAGAGGGCTTTTCACCATGTTGACCATGCTGGTCTCTATCTCTTGACCTCATGATCCACCCACCTCGGCCTCCCCAAGTATTTGGATTACAGGCGTGAGTCACCGCGCCTGGCTAGGTCAGGTCTGTTTTATACCACATGTCCTGTGATGGTTTCTACTTTATATAATTGTATTTTTAAAATAAATTTTATAAAACATTTTCCATTTTAATAAAAATTAAGTTTTTGTCCTATTTGATAATAATTCGTGGCTCATTTCCCAATAGTTTACATCATAATTCTCTAAAACGAATCCTTGCATTTTAGCAAGATTTCAGGTCTATTTAATTAGCAAGGCTGAATTTAAGAATGAACTTGAACTTTATCAGGGGTCAGTAAACTTTTTTTTGGTAAAAGACCAATAGACATTTTTTATCTTATTTATTTTTTTGCTTTGCAGGCCACATGGTCTCTGTTGCAACTACTCAGCTCTGTTGGTATAGCTGAAAAGCAGATATAGACAATATGGTGTGGCTGTGCTTCCACAAAACTTCACTTGTGGACACTAAAATGTAAATTTTGTATAATTTTCACATGTTATAAAATATAACTCTTCTTTTGACTTTTTCCTCAGCTATTTAAAGATGTAAAAATCATTCTTGACTCAGGCTATATAAAACGGAGGCAACAGGCCGTAGTTTGCTCTTGGGCCCTAGCTTGGCACCCCCTGAACTATATGAAAGCTTGACTCTAAAGGCAAAGAATGTGATAGAAGCTGTCTACCTGCTGTTAATGCAACTCACATTGCAATCAACATGAAGGATTAAGATCTCGGCCAGGTCTTTCAATCGTCTTTCTCTATTTTTGTGTCTTACAAGGATTTTCTTAGATAAGTTTCATGAGCACGGTAGATCCAATGGTCTCAAAAGATTTACCCTGCATTCTGCAAGCACAGGTGTTTCACACAGCAAAGCCCAGGAGCACAGGTCTTGCAGCCTCTGGATAACCAGACCAAACTTGTCTCTCACCAGTAGTTCAAAAAAACCCATGCTATCCTCATGCAAATAAACTTATGAAATGCTTTGCCAAATGATTTGTTCAGAACAGTAAAAGCTGGATACCAC